TCCACAAACAAACTAAACAGGTTTTTACAAATGCCTCATGATTCGCTAACAAACACAATGTGGTTTGCAAATACAAAACACCATCTACAAACTAATGCATTTAGTTTTGCAAAGAAAAAACACATTTTTCTAATAAATCATGTTTCAGAGACACATTCAGCATTGGTTTTACAACTACAACACTTTGTTTTACAAGTACAAAACTTTGTCTTCTCACAGCGGAATATTACTGCCAAAAGTCACGTGACTCACTCACGTGACTTTTGGCAGTAATATTCCGCCGTGGTTGTGCTCGCACACACTCACACATGCTCACTCACACATGCTCCACGGCAGCAAGGGGCGCTACTGAGTCCATTTGGGAAGGCGGGAGGTTGAGCAGAGCATGGAACAGCCCCTGCCAGCCTGATGACAGGTGTTTCTAGCGATCCAGCCATCTGTTACCCGAACTAATTTCACAATGAGCGGCCAACAGGTGAGTTTGTTAATTTTTCTGATGAATAAGCCAATGTTAACTGAAACTAAGTTACTGTTTCATGAGTATGAGCAGACTGCAGAAGCTAGTTTACAACAAGCTAGGCTAATTTTGGTTTTGGTTCTGATTTAGGATGAGGGCTAAACTACCGCCCCAGTTGAGCATGTCTTAGAATTAGATTGTCCCTCAGCCAGAGAATGCTTACCTGCACCGACCAATGTACATATTGAGTGATTCAAAATGTTTATAAAAACGTTGTGGTTGAAAGCCGCTGTGTAAATTACACATATCCGTGAGGTCTCCACCAAGACACTCCTATTGTTTATTGTTGTATTGGAGAGTGCCCGGTTTTTTTTTACAAAGATAACTCAATAACTATCACAGCTGTTGGAACTAGGGATGGGTATCGTAAAGCTTTTATTGGTAGGCCTACTACTACTCTTACCGATACTGCTTATCGATCCGGTACTTCTGTACCGGAACTGTATTTGTATTGGTACTTTTTGTATTCCACTGCCATTCAGAGGTAAATGTTGTACTTCTACTCCACTACAGATCAGAGGTACATGGTGTACTTTTCCTCCACTACATGTATTTAATACCTTTAGTTACTTCACAGATGTGGATGAATGATGTGAAATATAATCAAGTGTTGAATCAGACTTTAGTTCCACCTGGAGTAAATCCATCAGCTCCCCTGCAGTATACAAAGCCATTCAAACTAGCTGCACCTTCACCAGCTTTGAGAACACTTTCATGATCAATCATTATAAAACATATCATATATATTATTCTGAAATGGACCAATCTGCACAACGACTACTTTTACTGTCGCTACTTTCACTATATTTTGATGAGAATACTTTTCTACTTTTACTTGTAACAGAGTAAGATAATCTATAATGTGTGTAAGATAATGTGCAAAATGTGTGCTTTAGGTAGGGATTTTGATATAATCTGTTTAAGTTATCTCACTTTACAGATACAAATGTGTTCTTTGCTCAAAACTGCTTTTAAGCTAGCAAAAAACACATTATACTGTTTTATTTATTCTTGTTTGTATGTATTTGTTTCCAGAGGCCAGAGTATGCACACATAGAAACTGCTGCACGGAACTTGCTGTCTCTTTTAACAGCAACAGTCAGCCAAGGGCAAGTTCAGGATCAAGGCCAGCCCCAGCCCCAGGTTCAGGTTCAGGATCGAGGCCAGCCCCAGCCAGGGAACTCGTCAGGAGTTGAGAGTGAGGCCAGCCAATGTCCAGCAGGAGATGACAAAGTTAGACAAATTACAGTGTTGCTACAATGTATAAAGTATGGTTGGTAGTTAAGATTGTGTATGACATGCCTTTCAATTTTCTTTCCAGGTCTTTTCCAGGTCTCTTCAGAAGAGAGCAAACCAGTGGCAAACGTAGATTCCCTGCGCCACTGAGAACAGTTTCAGCCACATCCACAAAGACCCTTAATGTACAGTTTTATTTGCTCCCAAAACCCATTAGCAGAACTCCACAAGGGACTCAGGAGCTCAGGCTGTTGATGGCAGGCCTAGGTAAACGCCTTATAGCATTGCCTGAACAGAGCAACCATGCAGAGGTGACCATTAAAATAATGATATTTCATTAAGAGGCTAGCCATGGTAATTTAATATGATTTGTAGTGCTAATGTTTTTTATGTTGTCCTTGTTGTATATTGTCTTCCTACTAAGATTTCAACAGTTCTTTCGGCTGAATACCCGAAACTGGAGACTTTGACTGGTGGATGGCTAATTTATAAAGCATCGGGTAAGCAGATTCAGCCTTATTTAAAAATGGGGTGACACAACTATAATGGGTTGAGATTCTAAACTACATTTTTATTTTTATGTTTTAATCAATGTTGAAAACAAATACAAATAAATTGATGTATGCTCACTTCCCACTTTCAAAAATACTGAAGGACGAAGTGGCCAGAGAAAACTTTCTGTGATCCCACCTGAGTCCGAAGGCTACACAGCAAAAATGCTAAAGTGAATTTCAAATAATGGAAAACACACGCTTTTCATTATTCCACTTCAAGAGGAACTAGACACCACGCCTCTTCCCGCTGATGCCCCTGAGTTCAGCAAAATGCCTACATCTCAATGCAGGACCTGTGGAGAAACCTTACCCCTACAGTTTCTTGCTCTACATGTTGAGTCTTGTAGCAAGTCTGCAGAAGATACTGAACAAGTAGGTTTTTCTTTACATGAGACCTTGCTGAGCTAAAGCACCTTGTTCTTCTTGTTCAGTGAGTGCATTATCCAAACTATAGTATTGTCATATAACGTTTGTAAATCTGATCCACTTAACAGGAAATTGATGAAGATTCAGATGGAAAGCAAGACCATGATGATCAAGACAATAGTAAGTGTGAATACACTTTCATGACACAACAAATAAAACTTAACATAATTCTATGCTACACTCATCAATGATAATATATAACTTCACTTGTGGTGTACTTATTCATATAATTATGTGTCTAGTCATTAGTCTGATCTGCTTCCTTCTATGTCTTTCTTATTTGTTTCTCAGTGACCACAAAGTTGTTGTTGAAATGTTTCCTCTGCTTGAGCAGATCATTTATATTTGAAATTTCAGAGCCGTTGTCAGTTATTTTGGCTTCATTTGTCTTTCATTGCTACAGCTGTATTAAACTAATGCTGCTCACTGTATTTTTTCAGCTTCCCCAGTCGTGAGTGAGAAAAAGTGTCCCATATGCCAAGTAGTGTACCCTGCTGACATCATCGAGATGCATGCCAGTGCCTGTGTTGAGAGGTATGTTGTTGTTCTGTATAGTTTAGCCTTGAGGCTTAACAAATGTGCCTTTTTTCATCAGATGCATACAAGTTCACATATCCAGTAATCATAGATAAAGGTTTATTTCAAAGTTTGAATTCTTCTTCAAGGCACGCAATGTAGAGTGGGCAAATCCTATGCAATGCAGACTTGAAGGTTTGCCCTTTTTGTTTTAGTGCAGTTGTTTTTTTTCACAAAAAAATACCCAGAATATTTACATTTCTTATAATTGCTCGGTGATCCTGCAATCGGAGAGGGAGTGAACCGCTACTGGTTTTCCAGAGTGATGCAGAAGCTGAAAGAGGGTTTTAACTTGAACTTTGGTAGGGTGTCTTATATATATATGTTGAAGTGTGTTCATGCTGCAATATTCCTAATCCATCTATAATTTATCCAATTAAAACATATTTAAGATACGATCATACCTACATATATAGTTTAATGTAATTTATTCTGTACAACCACAGAATTGCTGAGTAATATAACATGATCATTGTTCCACGGATTTGTTCTGTTTGCACAGGAAATTGCTGTGTCACAAGGCTGTTCGATGGAGAGCCAGACCACCTGCAGACGACTTCATCGTCTGCATTCTTGGTTGAGAGTGACCTTTTTCTGATGGTGGGCAGAATCATTGGCCATTGCTTCCTGCATGGAGGTCCTGCACTGACGGGCCTAAGCCCAGCTGTTGTTCATATCTTGTGTGGAGGCACAGCTGAAACTGCCACCATTAGCATTCGTGACTGTCCAGACATGGATCTAAGGGAGAAAATCCAGATAGTGTGTATTCTCCAAATTGCACATGATTCATATTTGAACACATTTTAGATTCAGTTTAAGTGTGTCGTATTTGAACACATTTTAGATTTGGTTTAAGTGTGTCCATATTGTGTCTTTAAGCTCGAAGGGAACTCCGAACTCTCAGCTGCTGAGAAGGAGAGTGTGAACACCTTGTGTCTGGCATGGGACCTTCCTGTGATGTCTAACGACAAGCGGCGATGGCTCTTTGAGAGACTTCTTTATCATGCGGTATTGAATACTGTTGACACTATTCAACATATTGTATAACACTTTTATCCCACTGAAGGTATAAAGATTTGTTTTTGTATTTTATCTCAACAGGTAATTGGACGAGCCATGAAGCAAATCAAGCAAATCAGAAAAGGACTCAAAGACACAATGCTGTCGCCCTTCATTAATCAACGTCCAGATGCAGCTCCAATTCTTTTTCCACAGGAGTCAAGTGCTATAGCGGCCATACCGCATAAAAATATAAGAAAGAAATATAACGCAAAGTGCCGCCGAGGCACCCGTCAGCGAATCTTACGCATGGGTAAAAATCAAGGTCCGAGCAAAAGTCGTTTCAGTGCAATTTATTGTCAACACATCAAGCATTTCTCTTCCTTCTTACCCGATGGTAAAAAACCATAAGCCTACCGGGTGCGCCGCTCACTACCACCTGTTTCCCATATTTATAATGAGCCGGTCTCCCCTCCCCCGGTGCCCAAAGGCTGTCTTTACAAAACAGAGGCATGGTACAACTTATTTGATCAACTTAAATAAGAATTAAAAGGAAGATTTACTATAAACAAAAAAGAACAATAAAATAAATGGATAACTATTAAATAATATAAGCTCCTAGATATGGCTTCATCAAGTGCTGTGTTGACCCCAGAGGTAAATACGTCTAATAAGACCGGTAGTATTGATCATAGCTGGAAATGAAGTGTTCAATCAGAAACATTTTCCAAACAGCAGAAAAATTATTTATTCCAGATGGCTTGTCTGTTTGATGTTTTTGTATGTAGAGCATTCTTGACCGCATCAACTGGCCGACCATGATTGACGTTGATGATGATGATGATGATGATGATGATGATGATGATGAATGCTCTTTGGAAGATAAGAGCCGTGTCACAGGATACCTTCGTCGCTTCATTCAAGATGGTATATTTCCTTCATGCAATGATTGATGCATGTACTGTATGTTTTAAGTGTAATGCATTCACATGTGTTCTCATTATCCACATCTATCCTAGTCGAAGAACAAACGTGTCATATTAGTTACAATGTAGTACTTAATGGAGGTTCATGTACAACACCAGATCTGAGTCTTATCTTTCTAGCCTTAACAGATTAAAGAGTCAGAGCACCTTAATATTGATTTGTGCAGTGTATTTAATGTAAATCCAAATGTATTAGATTTCAGCCACCCTTCTTCCCAGTACCTGACACAAGAATTTTAGTTGGTTTTGTTCTTGTGCGAAATGTATCAAGTGCAGCATTCTCCTTTACTGCAAGCATTTATGTATTGTTTTTTTCTGCAGCATCCAGTGATGAGTTGAAGGAACTTGCAAAGTTCTGGGTTGGACGGGAGGCTCCTTCCAGTACCCTCACAGTGGAGGTGATTAACGGTGGCCTACCAAAGTCATCCACATGCTTTGAAACACTCCGTATTCCTGCCCACTACCAAGACTACCCAACATTCAAGAAAGAGTTGATGGCGTGTCTTAGCACAAATGACACTGGATTTGGGCTGGTGTAAATGTTGGCAGCAAAATGTGTGACTGTTATATCACAGCTTGTACCTAAAGCTATAGTCAACTGTTCAATGTTCTTGTTTTGCTCTTAGTTATGGAAGTAATATTCTGTTAGTTCTGTGCAAATTTCCAGGCTAAGTTTATTATACAAGATTTCAAAATAAAGTTCAGATAAGTTTACCTTACTCAACATGTCTGTTGCAAGTGTATTGTGCTTTTACTGTAAGCCTAGAAGGTGTTGGACATACTGGACAGTAGCTAGATAAATGTCTGAGCCATGTGATTGGGACTGTGCCAGGGGATTTATGGCTGCCCCCAGTGCTGCCTCTTGTTGATGGCTCGACAAATGGCCTGTCTCAGGATCAGTGACCCCATGGTGTGGATCATCAGGCTGTCCTCCCAGTCAAGATGAGGGAGGTATAATAATAATAATAATATCCCATCAGAGACTGCTCTGACCTCACCACCTTCAAAAAACTCACTTCTTCAATCTGGCTTTTAATGTGTGATTGTTTTTGTATTATTTGACATTAACTATATATTTATTTGTTGTTCCTTCCTTTTCTTTTCCCTTCACTATATCTGTAAAGCGTCTTTGAGCACCTGTAAAAGCGCTAACAAATTAAATCTATTATTATTATAATTCCTTAAAAAAAAGACACCAGAATGTGATACATGAAAACCAGTTGCAGATTTAAACTAAAACAAATAGTTACAAGATAACTTAAATGTCCAAATGTGAAATATAACTGAAGAAATTCCTGTACTATAATTTCCACACATAATTGTAACGGTCTGTAAAGAACTGGTGCTCTCCTGTGCTGTGCTCACTAGTAAGACATGAGCATGCAAAACATTCTTGTGTGCAGGAGTTTTTTGTCGGTCCATATCCCCTTAGGTGCTCCATATGATACATTTCTCTAGAGCAAGGGTGTACTGTAAAAATGTTCAGGTTATGAACCCCCCTTTACCGCCACATTGTCTGGTTCTGCCACAGGATGCTGGATGTTTCCCATGTGCCACAACTGATTAGGAGTTAAGTTTCCCTCAGTTCTGAGTGGGTGGTTATCCCAACCACCACAAAATACATCAAGACTAGCTTGTAGTCTGGGCAGAAAAACGTATTGACAACTGAAGAGGTGTGCAAAGTTTGACAGGTCAAGCAAACCATCATCCTCTAGCGAGTGCAGCACGTTGTAGAATACGTTGGTCACAGCACACCACACGTCCCTCCAGAGGCGTTCAATTCTGGAAGGATAGTTTATAAGATAAGATATGGTTTACATACATTTATGCTTCATATTTTTATTATTTTTAACCAGTGATGGAAGTTAAAACTCTGAAAAGTAAAATGGTTGTTCCAATTAAGTGATCAATTAGTTTGTGGGGGATACTAAGGCCTAACTTGTTGGTCCAATTAGTCAATAAATATTGCATGTAAAATAATTTAATTCAAATGTTCACAGAAATTGTTCTCATTTAAGTTCATTTTCTGGGCCAAATTCCCTAGTGCTATAGATACCAATCGTTAGCCAGTTACGTTGTGTAAAACACGATGAGTTGCAGTATTTAGTATCAAAGCATGGAGGTCCTGCACTTTTTCAAGAAAGGCATGATCCCTGAAACCATGCCTTTGAAAATTATGTCACAGCAGTTGATACCTTAATTAGAAAACAAATTAACAAAGATAAATGTTTCAGAATTGTCTACAAATCTCTTGACATGACAGTGCTGCAATATCAATTCAAGTAATAATGATGTTAGCTAGCTTTGAGAAGTGCGACTGAACCTGAACCTTTGAGAAGTGCGACTGAACCTGCCTTTGGTTGTGCACACTCTTTCCAGCGATGAAACTGGACCTTTCTGTTCCCCTGACAGAGGACATCAGCCGTGCAATGTCAACGTGCTCAACTCCGTGATCTGCTCTTACCAAATGAATAGCATTTATAGTGCGTGATTAAATGTGGTCCAAACCATGTTATCTTCTCTTTAAATGATCTTTATAAACATATCATATAGACACACTATTATACAAGCCAACAAAAACATGATAATCATGAAAACCTTTTCAGCTCTTTACTCTTTAGTTAAATATTGATGTTCCATACTTGTCCATGAACACTCTGAGTCCCTAATCTCTTTTATTCTAAGTTAGATATGGGGTGTCAAAATGTAGTCTTGACTTCTGTCTCAAGTTGACATGAAAGGACCAATGTCACTTACCTTAATGGAAATCCATATCTGTCCACTGATTTCTGAAAGAAGGCACGGGCTGTTGAGGCCAGATTGTTGTTTGCTGCACCCAGGAACATGATCTAAAAAGTTAAATAAAAAAGGATGTAAACGTATCTTTTTATAGATTAATGTTTTTCTTTTTTTATTGAATCATACCTTTCTTGAAAAGCCATCAATGCCACCAAATATGACAATGTTGTACCTGATTAAATGAAAGAAACTATAATAAGACACATATTTGGGCTGAACAATTATTAAACATTAAAATAAAAATGTGGCCTACAATTTTGGTCAATATTGTGTTACAAATGGAATCATACACAGCGAATCAGCTTGTGGTTGGTGTCAATGTGCATCAGGGATTTGGGACCAGGAACTGAGTAGGTGCGACGCACAACACACCCTAGCTGGTTCATTCGGAAAAGGATGCCTCCAGTGTCCACACGGTGCATGGAGGCCCGCACCCTCTCCCACTGGACTCTGAATCCTCTGGACTGCAAGGTTCCCTTAACCAGGCGGTACCCAGCATGAGGCATGTCTTTTTTAATGTCAGTTACCAAATTGTCTAACTCTGTATCTGAACAGGTGCTATAGAGTGCTCTGACAGAGAAGGCAGACTCTGACATTCGTCTGTAAATTGTACGAGTGGACACTCCCATTAGGTTAGCAATACAGGGCACTGGAAGACCCAGGTTAAGAAGATGTAACAGGGAATCTGGAGATAAATCAAATCTTGGACGCCCAGTGACTCCATGGGTAACCTGAACTAATACTTTGGGGACCCTATTTTGTCTTTCCTCAACAACCAACTTGTGTAGCTCTGTGAGTGCATCTACAATAGCCTTTGGGATGAGAACCTGATTAGAGAGAGCACTAAAAAGAACAACCTCCTGAGAACAGACAAACTCAAGGTAATCGATGTCAAGTGGCTGCTGATGGACAACATGTAGAACTCGTGTATGGAGCCTCTCCAACATGCTTTGTCCGAGCAATTCCTAGAGATAGAAGAAAAGGATGAGCAAGTGTGAGGTGAAACATTTAGGTAACTTAGATATTTAACCATGGCTGGTAAGCAGGGGTTGAATTGGGTACACATTACGTTTATACCCTCTGGAACTCCCTCCCACAACACATCAGAGACTGCACAGACCCCCCCACTTTCAAAACACTGACCAAAACACACCTCTTCAAGATGGCTTTTAATCTGTGAATTATGCTGTATTGCTGTTTTAATAACTTTTAAGTGTTATTTTATCTTGTTTTAATAACTTTTAAATTCTATTTTATCATGTTTTATCACCACTGTAAAGCGTCTGAGCACCTGGAAAAGCGCTTTGAAATGCAATGTATTATTATTATTATTTTCAGTTTTCATTGTAAATATACCCACATAAGAGAACCCAATTCAACCCCTGCTAAGTTTCTATATTATATGTGATATTGGCAGATAACCAATGTGAAATGTGTACCCTGTGGTCCACTATCTGCATAAAGTCTCAGTGCCCTCTGTTTAGTTTGAAAACAGTTTAAGTTATAAATTGGGTAATTTCCACACCCTATTTGAACTGACACTAACACTGAACCAATAGGATCAAACTATCTGACGTCACGGTTGGCTTGTGGGCAAAACACAGGCAGCACCAACACAATACTGTTTTAAAATGATTGGAACACAAGCAAATAGAAGACTATAACTATGCTGCTAATCGGGTGGTATAGTAGAATAAGCAAATACATGTTAGACGAGGTAACAAACGATCATTTCACAGATGTTCTCATAAAATCACAGAATCCCTGTCTTTAGCGGGTATTCTTTCACACACATACGGGTTTTGGGCCGAGGGCGACACCGTACTTCCGGTATCAACCATTTCACACGAGGTGCATACAGAATATCATAGTCTATTCCTTAATCAATATAGTCAACTCTAAAATACCACATATATGCAATGGCATGATAATATTATTGTGACAAGTGGGGTATTCACCTGGTGTTTCCAGAAGATAGACGTAGATGCTGCCAAAATCGACCGAAGGCCACTTTTGAGGGTCGTAATTCCATACATTGTACATCCAACCACCCACACAGCTCTAGTTTACGCTGGTAACGACCTAGAGCACACCCCTCAAGTCCAGAGATGTAATCCGAAGACATGCAGCGATTTCTTCGGTCGTTAATTCAGAAAAAAAAACCTAGTGCGCTCTGCCTGGCTACATTAGCTAGCTGTTTATATTAGCATCGGCAGGATTTTTGCACCTCCAGAAAAATGGCGTCTTTATAAAAAATATATGGCGCGCGTTGCATTGTGGGTAGCTGTGACGTCACTGTGTGTGAAAGAATGGTTATTACAGACTTTTCAACTAACCACAAAGACTTGTCTCATTCATGTAGTCTACTGATGGCTATATATATGTGTATTTATTCATTTACATGTATATGTTTACAAGAACCGATTACTAAAAATAAATTAAAAAACGAAAATTAGCCTAGCTTGTTGTAAAATAGCTCCTGCAGTCTGCTCATACTCATGAAACAGTAACTTAGTTTCAGTTAACATTGGCTTATTCATCAGAAAAATTAACAAACTCACCTGTTCGCCGCTCATTGTGAAATTAGTTCGGGTAACAGATGGCTGGATCGCTAGAAACACCTGTCATCAGACTGGCAAGGGCTGTTCCATGCTCTGCTCAACCTCCCGCCTTCCCAAATGGACTCAGTAGTGCCCCCTGCTGCCGTGGAGCATGTGCCCATATATATATATATATATATATATATATATATATATATATATATATATATATTAGGGCTGTCAAACGATTACAATTTTTAATCAGATTAATCACAGCTTAAAAATTAATTAATCATGATTAATCACCATTCGAACTATGTCCAAAATATGCCATTTATTTATGCATATTGTTGTGG